TCAGAAAGCACATAGGAAATCTCAATCAAGGCAGAACAGATCACAAAGAAGTAGACACAATTCATTATCTTTGCATAAGAAGAGACAGAATATTTCTTGCATCAAGAGAAGTCATTCACTAAGTACTCTTGAAAGAAAGGATAGAAATACCAACAGTTTTGGATTTTCCCAAGAAAGTTTAACCAGAGAAGTTCCTTTGAGTCTTTTTTTGAGGCTCAATAATCACTTGCTCCTTAATATTCAGGATAAGGGATTTCATGATGCAGTTTGTTTAATGCAGTGGATACTGAGCAGGGAAAGGAAGTTCTGTCTTTCAAGTGCAATTCCCAAGGATGGAGAAGACTCCATCTTCAAGAAAGTTGATCTTAGTCTACAAGACATCATACTTGCATTTTCTTGGGATTTCATTGCAGAAAGTAAATCACTTCCAGTTACAACCCAAAACTCCATGACAAAGAAACATGGGAAAATGAAAGTGAAGAAGTCAGCATCAGTTGGTGAACTGACCTATGATAAATCCAACATACTGCCTGCACAGACTTTAGCTGAAAATCTGTATAATGGTCATACAGTGAATTCAGAGAATAATGTTGAAAATGTGAGAAAAAAATCTATAGTAGTTCCAACATCAACCACAGAAGAAAAAGAAAAAAACAAAGAAGGAAGAGATGTGTTAGATGCAAGAGGTTTAAGTACAGACACTGCAGAAAAAATAGAGGATGAAACTCCAGCCATCAGAGTGAACAAAACATCAGAGGAAGACAATCTGAGCAAAGATAACAAGGCAGAACTCCAAATGAATGAGGATGAAATGGCTAAAAGGGAGGAAGAGGACATTCCAGATGACAATCAGTGCCCGGAAGCAGCAAGTGTCCAGGATGACAACTGTGCATTGCAGACTGTAGTTAGTCCATCTTTTGGTGCTACTGCTGAACCAGTGGAAAGTAAAGTTAAGAAACTTGAAACCAGTGAAATAATGGATTCATCAAAGGAAATACATTTAAACAATGAAGTGCAAAATAATAAATCAGACTTAGGTCATAAGGAAGACCTTAAAGCAGTTGATTTAACAAATCCAAATTTTTCAGTCTCATGTTTAGCAGACCGTAACTTTGTGGATGTTTCAACACAATATTCAATCCCTCTTTCTGATAATTCGTGGAAACCTTTTAGGCCAAAATCTAGAATGTCCAAAAAGCCACCAACCCCTAGACTAGTTATTGAGGCTAAAGGACAGGGGGCTGTGATGAAGCAACAGGAAACCACTGCAGCTGTATGCAAGAAGAAGAGCCTCACACCAGTTGAAACTCCTTCTGAGATCTTGGATACTCCTTTTTGTGGTCCCCCAAAGATTCTGCGAATGAACACTCGTCAAGATAGTAGAGTGCTAAGCTTATCTGATCTTGATAGTGATGATGATGTGGATAATACTTGTCTTTCTAATTCCATGGGTTTCCCGAATGACAATACTCTGGATGATGTTACTCTGCCAGAATCCCTTCATGTTTCAGAGTTGGAGGAAGATATCCAGTATGCATCCAGTTGTGAGAAGGGAGATGAAGTAGGAAGGTTTAAAAGCCATGCAATGCAAAATGGAAGCAGGAAAATGAACACAACTGTAACAATTAATCGCCCAGCTAGACTAAGTCTAAATCATTCTAAATATGTAGATAACAGAGCAGCCCCTATTCATGTTAAACCTATCCATACAGAGGTTAAAAGCAGCAAGCAGAATATGACTAGCAGAGAAGTTGCTATTGTTCCAAAACAAAAAGACAGTGACAGCCAGGCCTTCAAGCTACTGACACTACCAGTGTCAGTTCCCACTGAATTCAGTGAAGCAACCTCAAAAAAATACAAGCCATTGAAGCTAAAGACAATACCATATCAGTTTCTCCAAAAAAAACATTTGCCAGAAAACAAAAAACCTATGATTAAATCAATCAAGCAAAAGTCAGAAGATGCTGGTAGTCATATGAAAGGAACAAAGATGCTGAAATTTAATAAGGAACCTCCAAGCAATGTGTTTAAAGATCAGATGACTTTACTAACTGTGCCTTTATATACCCCATGTCTGAAATCTGCTCAGGAGAAGTCGCTGAAACTTTTGGATCCTCAGCATGTTTTCACATTTGCTGACAGAAATGTAAAAGACAAAAAACTTGCAAAATTTAAGATACTTCATAATAAGAATTCAGTAGAAAACCCAGTGATAAATAGAGCAATTAAAATCAAAAGCTTTGGTTTTCTAGATCCACATGCTGGAAGCAACATAGAAGTAGCTAATGACACACGTACTGAAATAAACAAAGAAAAGTGCAGCAAAGCCAGTGATGATAAAGCTTTTAATGGGAAAATATCAGCGTCCCCTGTTAGCTATGAACCAGAGAAGCCTAGGCTTTTAACAGTTACCAAAGAATATGAGATGAGACAAGATGCCATGCTTCCTTTTCCCATATCACAAAGAGTGGATAAAGCATGCCAGCACAGTACCCCTCAGTCAAATGTAAACAGTATAGAAACTCAGACTGTAGAAAATTCACAAAATGTTAAAGCTGATATCACAACGGATACAGCCCCGTTATGTACTGATACTGAACAGACTACTACAATGACAGTTAATAATCAGGGAAAAGGTGATCGTAATGTACTTCCACAAAAAAGCACTGATACTTCTAGAACTATTTTACTTCAGGAAAGGTTAGATGAAGTTGCCAAATTGCCTGAAGTTGAGCATGAAAATGAAGCCAGTAAAAGTGATTGCCATATCTCAACAACAGAGAGTCAGAAAGAAACAGCGCTTGTAGAAACAAAGACACAGAAGGATGCAGCAGTTGGAGTGAAGGATTCTGACCTAGAAACAAAAGCAACTGAAATTTCCTTCCCTTTACCAAGCTGCAGAAAGAATATGCAAGTTAGTAGAGTACCATATTTCATAAATATTATGTCGAAAATATTTTTAGATTTAGGATTCCATTGGCAACAAAATCTTTAAATATTCATGGAGATGATCTTGGATGGATGACACACAAGAGGCAATAAATTCCTCTAGCTTTGGTATTCACTTTTCCATAGTGCTATATGACCCTTGATGGATAGCACATTTATTTGTTTCAACCATTAACCATTAGTATTCACTTTATTTTTACTTTTTAACTTCAGTCTTCTGTTCCATGCTATATCACATGCTTTTACTGGCCTCCATATGAATATATGATTAGTATAGTTTATGCTAACTTATTTTGAACCATTTTAGGTGTTATTCTTTTTAGACTATAATAGTACCCTAAGGTAAATGTCCTGCTTTCTCAGGTCAAAATTGCTGTCATTTTACTCCCTTTAACTGTAACAATTCCATGTTTGAATAACCCCTGGAGCTGAAATAACAAGCAAGCATTATATCATTATGCTGTGAATGGAAAGTTTTTCCTTTTTGTCTCGCTCCCCTTTTTTGTCCCATTTTTTCTGTATCTGTGTTTGCAGTTATCTTCTTCCTCAGTGTATATCCATACTTCTGCATTATTTCTAATTTTACTTTTTAAATATGTACCTGCCCTTATTAAGTAAAGAAAGAAAACTCGTATAAGGTCATTGCCTCCTTTTAGAGGTTATAGTTATATTTTAGATACAATTTGTGCAAAGTAATAACTGAGTAACATGAACATTTTGGATGAATTTATGAGATTGCTTATATATGTATTGAAGAGTTCAGTGTTGTTTAACAAAATATACTTTTCAAATTCCAATTCACCTTGTAGTAACAGTTAGTTGCCTGTTGTTATTTAGCTTTAGAATAGGAAGCAAAAGAGGTAAATATTTGATGAATTAGAATTAAAAGACCTGGTACATATTTTTCCTTTTACATCTTAAAAAGATATAATGTAAACTTCTCCATTTCAGACTCAGACAGACCATGCTGCAGCAATGGCACTTCACCAATCAGAGGGTTACTGTGTGCCCCCTCATGTACCTCCCACTGCTTCACCCCCTGCATACTCTCCAGTGTCCACCCCAGCAGCACCTCCAGGAAAGCCTAGCCAGATGGCACTTTCACTCAACCCCACACTCTTAGAAGTGGATAATACCTGTCTTCGGCAAAGCAGTAAAGATCTATCCAATGTGCTGACACAAATCGACATTCCGCAAGAAATTGTACAGGGACGTTTGGATGCAATGGGAGATAAACTTAATGAAACTATCTATGGGGAAGATTTGGATAAAATTGACAAGTCAGTGACTGAAAGGGATTTAGAAGTAAAAAGTAGTATCAGAGATAACAAACAGTTTAGTGAAGTAAGAATATCAGATTCCAAAAGTCATGGGAATAATTTCCAAAGATTGTTTGAACACAATGCTGATGATGCTAAGGCTGAAAGGTCCAAGTCACATTCTGAAGGGACTTCTAATGCTACATGTAGAGAAAGAGAAATTTCACAGTCTAAAGCTCGACCGGACAGCTTATTGAAAAAGCAAAGTGATTTTATCCAAGACCAAATTTTGGAATCTCCATTACAAGAAAACAGAACTATTCATGAGTGTGAACAAAAAGAACAAGAAGTTCTTATACCATATGAGGACAAAGTGCAAGATGTATTAAGTTCAAGAAAGGAAGAGATGACAATGAATGATCTAGTAGAGGCATTCTCAGAAGGAAGGATAACCTTTGAGGATATGTGTAAATTTAGTACACAAGCAGTCAAGGAAGACACTAATCCAGAAGGGATCATGTCAGAAAAGGAAGATCCCATGATGGCCATCCAGGCCTTAGAAAGAGAAGCAGAAGAGGCAGTGAAAGGACTTCATGAATCAAGACAATTCATGTCTAAAATCAGTTCATTAGTGCAAGTGGCAGGGGAGTTAGAGAGCCAGAAACAGCAGACATATTCAGTTAGTGATGGTAAGAAGGCATCAGAACATAACCAGATATATGTTCCTAGTATGTCTGGAGAATCCCCAAGAAATAAAAATCATGAATGGCAAACTACAAAGTCTTTGTTCCTAAAGACTGGCAAAAGTGACATACTATTAAAGTATATAGAAGATATGCACCCAAATGACTTGAGATTTGAAGTTATAGATGACATAATGAAGTATACCGGGCTTGAGGAAGGACTTAATCAAATACCTACTTCCAATACTTCTCGGCCCCTTTGTGAGACCTACACCCTAAATGACACTCAGTTCAGCCTTCTGCAATCCAATGTGGTTAGGTCATTTCCCAGAGTCGACATCAATAGCCAGTGTTCTAATGATGGTATCAGCCTTGCCAAAAGTCACTGAAGAGCCAGTGCTACATCTTGATCTCACTAGTCTCAGGTAAGGGCTCCCCCCCTAGTCTCTGCATTTCCCCCAGTATCTCTTCCCTCTACCATGAACTATCCTACCCCTACTCCCCCTCTCCCCCAGTCAAATTCATTTTCCAGGCTAAAGCCAGATACTCAGTAACTACCTGTCATCTGTCACACTTTACCTGTCGCACCAGACAACTTAAATGTTCCACTCCATCTTCGCCTACCACACCCTCTCCTACACCCTCTTTTTCCTCTGCTTCTTGATCTATCCCCTCTTCTCCTTACAAGAGAACCTTTGTTCCTTAGACCTCCCCACACAACTTCCCTCCAGAAACTCTTGAAGACTTCCAAAAATTCATAGACATGATCCAAGAGAATGTTTAACTCCTTCATCCACCCTTCAATATCTCTATTCCAGTTCCCTCTCCATTCAAAGTATCTGCCGATATCCATCCTCTTCCCCCTCATGTTCCCCTTACACCACTTCTTACTCTTTCCCTACACACCCCATCCTCTCCTTCTCCATTTGCACCATTCCCTCTTCATTCCCCATTATCCTTACCTTTCCCACCTGGATGCTCACGTGAATCCCCTCTGTTGCAACAGTGGCTTTCTCCAGATCCCTCCCCCCCTGACACTTTCCTGATACTTCATCACCTTCCCCATACCTCTTATCTCATTCCCCAGATGACTCATCTGGTTGCTCCTCTTCCAATAGCCATCTGTACCCGTATTACTTATTGATAGTTACATAAAGGCTCTTTTGCCACTTTTCCTTAAATGATATTTCTATTGCTTCTCCAGCCACAGGTACACTCCGTTTCATCCAATCGCACTATGCCCTTAACCCTTCCCTGTACTAATCTCTGATTTACTTGATTTGTACTTCCTCTTTGCCCTTTGCCCTATCATAATATCCTAAAATGCTTTATAACTTTTAACATTTAACACATTTTATTAACCTTAACTCATTTTCACCCTTTTTGCCACAATACTTTACCATAAAGCTATATAACCCTTGCCCTATCATATCCTAAAATCCTCTCTAACTTTTAACACTTAACACATTTTATCCTTATCCTTAACTAATTTTTACCCTCTTTGCCACAATACTTTACCATACTGCTATATGACCTTTGATGTCTAGCACATTTATTTGTTTCATCCATTAACCATTAACCATCAGGTAAGGGATGTTTGATGTTAGAGATGATTTAGTGATATATGAGTAATATGAAATACTCTGTATTAGCAAGCTTATGGTATCATATGATATGCAACCATGTCATGATAAAAAATCACAGGTGACTGGTGACACCTTGTCCCATCATGAGTCTGTGTCAAGATTGATGGGATGATTTCTTGCATACTCAGCAAATTTTAGGTATAGGTCTGTTGACTTTCATACAAGTTTTATTTTTGGTCTTTTCAGATCTGACTCCAGTAATGGTTATCACAACTTGCCGAAATATAGTGATAAGAAACAAAATTCTCCAAAATTAACCTGTGATACTGAAGTTCTTGAGAAACGTGAAAGTATCAGGAGATGGATGAGGGAGCAGCGGAAGAAGAGGCTTGCCCAGACCCAATCCACTCAGAATGCTAACATGCTTTCAAAGGTAAGGTTGCAAAAGAGTGTGAATTGTTTTATATTACAGTAATATCTTTTTCCTGATGTTTTTACTGTATTAGATTCTTGCTAAGCACTGATACAGAAGTTACTCGCAATAATTGTATCATAATTGCATAATACTTGCTCATATGATATTAAAATGGGTCGTTCTCTATAAATTATTGGTTATAACTTCATTGTTTTAATTAGATTTGCAACTTTTAAATTATTTTTCAACTTCCTACCCAGAATTCAGCAAAAAGACCTACAAGTTTTATGAATGGTACATTGACCAGTAGACAACTTCGTGAGCGCAGCAGAGAAAGAGAGGAAAAGCAAACACAATTAAGAGAAGAGTTTCAGAGGAAACGGGAGGAAGAAGTAGAGAAACTTCTGAGAGACCATGAGGAAGAACTGTCAACACACAGAGCTCTAATTCAAGAAGGGAGATGCAGCTCTGAGAGCAGGAGTGTGACCAGGGCCACTCAATCTATTGGCAGTAAACCTAAGAAGGTTCCTGAATTGTTGCAGGGTAGTACCTCACTATTAAATGCCAGTCCACTACCTAAAAGGAATACCGAGTTGGCTGTCAAAGGCAGCTCGTCTTTACACAGAGGAAAACTGAACATTAAAAACATCTCAAAGCATAGCACGAAAGTATCAAGTGCTCATGACAAGAGTTTCAAATCAAATCCCACTTTAGACAATGATAAGAAGATACAGGAAGAGATCAGTCGTCTAAAAGAGTGTATGAGATCGTCAAGGAAGTTAAGAATAGCCCCAGGAAACTCAAGCTGGTCCATCAACAGAGATGAAATGCTTTCTTCTGACCGGAGTTTTCATTCTGACCATTTAGATGAAGAGCAGACGAAACACAAAAGTAAAAAGGTGAAGAATAGTCATATATTAGACAATACCAGAAGTGACATACCGGTGAAAAATAACAATGTAAGTTCTGATAAGCACTTACGAAGAAATGAAAGCTTTTCACTACCCTTGGACCGTATATCAGAGGTCGACTCATCTTCACAGAGTTGTAGTTTAAATAATGCAGAGCAGTCACCCAATGGAGATGATACAAGTGGAGAAATTTCTTGGAATGTTCCGGATGAAATCAAAATGTTGCTTTATAAATGATAAACTATTGTATTGTTTCATATGAAAGTTGTAACAAATATTATGTACCTGAAAAGAAATATTTATTTGACTTAGTATACAAATCTTGTACATATATGAATTAAAAGGAAGATCAGTACCCGTGCAATATTATTTCTGGAATCTCACAAAATAATAATTTTGAAATAATAATGATAACAGAGTAATACGACTTTATGAATATTAAGTAAAGGTATATTATATGAAGTTTTGGGAATGTTCTAGATAAGATCGAAATTATGCTTTATGAAGGATAGACTATTATATAGAGTTGGGTCTGTAGGAGTACTGTAGCAACAAAAGCCATGTACCTGAAAAAAATTATTTGACATTGCGTACAAATGTGCACTTCAATGCATTGTACACAAATTAACAAAAAGATTACTAACTATAGAAAACATATCTCAAAAATGGAGGGACAAGTAGTATGATAATATACTGACAATTAAAATTATTGACAGGAAACAACAATAAATTCAAGTGTAACAGTTCAAAAACAACAATAAAATCAAACAAAAAGGAAGTGTAATAGTTCAAAAACCAACAAAATAAAAAACGCACAACATGGCCGCACAAATCATAATCAACAGAAGGCCCTGGACAGCATCTGGTCTCCACGTGCAAACCCATCAACAAGAAAGTCGTAAAAGATTGATACACTAATCTTGAGCACTTACTAAGGCCAATAATACCAGATTCAAATAACTCACTCTAGGCCTTACAGGTTAAGTCTATTTGCCATTTCATTTTTTTATAAGATGGAAGTACAGATGAAAGTAGGGAAGGATGTGACAGAATGCGGAAAATGAGAGAGACAGACAGACAGACAGAGACAGACAGAGAGAGAGAAAATTCTGTAATTCTAAGTAAAAGTCGCGAGTTATTTGTGTTCAATGCTTCAGGACTCAATTAGTAAAGAGAGTTTGTAACGGCTTCATTTGACAGCATACGCACCCGACACAGCATTTCACAGGGAAATAAACACATAAATAAATAAATACATATATGTCAGTCTAAACATGCATATCTACTGCACAGATGGATAGATAAATATATAACTATCACAGATAGATATGTATACATTTATTTCTGTGTATGTATGTGCGGATATATGAATATTCATTGAGTCGGGCCTTGCATAATTTTAACAATCTGGCCTATAGCATTTGAAGAGGAAGAGAGAAGGGTAGTAGAAGGAGAAAAATGGGGACAGAGGTAATAGGACCTGATCGGACACCGTGGAAGCTACAAACCTTACCTATTACCTATGCTTGTATGTATGTATTTATATCTATTTGTATATATTTTGTAAAATAAGGAAAGGCAAATGAAGCAAATTCCTCGATCCATAAACATTGCATGCTTCCAAAGTTTTATCTTGCAACTGAAACACGTGCTGACCAAGAACAATATCAGCAAAAACAAAATGGCGCCTCTTTTTCTGTCCTTTCGTCAAGTTTGACACGGTCCATTTTTGGTTGTACAATTTTGGATTCGCTATCATCATTTTTGGATTCCCTATCACCAAAATTATCATAATAGATTTTCATAAGTCGACGGTCTGCGTCAAACAAGTCGACGAAATGCCAGAGGGAGAGGCGCAATTTTAGTTTTGCTATTGTTCTAGTCCATCACGATAAGCGTGTCTTTTACGGGTTGGTTCCAGTTGGATGATACTGACAAATATGGGATGAAATTACGCTTATCTCTGGATTGAGGAATTTGCTTTAGAAGCCTCTTCCCTTATCGCGGATGAGATGAGGATGCGCTGACGGCGAGCGTGGTTAGATGATTTGGGGGGAAAATATAAAATTATTTCAACAGGAGTGACCAGGGCAAGGAGTTTAGATATCTATGCCCAAATTGGGTGAGGCAGGGCGTTGTGTGGAAAAATAGCAATAAAGTTGAAAGAAAAGTAGAAAATCGGTAAGGAATATGGGTA